AGGCCCCGCCACCCGTGAGCACCCCCAGAAGGTCCCAGCGGAACTGGCTCCATCTCGGGAGGCCCCGGCGGGACCTGCTGCCCCCAAGAAGACCCCAGCTCTAGCCTCTGCCCCCCGGAAAGCCCCAGCTGGCCGGGTCCCATGGAAGACCCCCCGGTTTGCGGCCATTCACCGGAAGGCCGCGTCTCGTCCTGTCCCCTGCCGGGAACCAGGGTCCCTGTCGTCCCCATCGCCACAGGCGCTGACCCCGGGCACCTGCTACCGGATGGCCTGCGACTCTGCCCACTTGGGCGCGGGGCCGGCGGGCAGCCGGGCGGGGATGGTGCTGGAGAGCAGCCGGCCCGGAGGGAAGACAGAGCCCCTGGTGCTGGTGGGCACCCAGGGGACCCAGGTCATGGAGGTGCGGGCCCAGAAGATGTCGCTGGAGCTGCCCGGCCACAGGGCCCGGAGGGAGATGGAGGAGGTGGTGGTGGGCAGGGCCTGCGAGGTCGCCCTGGACGGCCTGAAGGGCAGGGCCCAGGTGGAGGACAGGCTCCGCAGCTCCAAGGAGGAGAGGCTGGTGGACCTGCCCGGCTTCAGGTCCCAGGCGACGGGGCAGCGGAGGAAGTGGGTGAAGACGCAGCAGCTGGCGGTGGAGGGAGCCCCCGGGGCACCCAGGAGGCCCTTCTCCGTGGAGGACCTCACCCTCGCCAGGATGGCGATCGTGGCCAAGGCCAAGGAGCCGCCCTTGAGACCGAGGCTGTTCGGGCTGCCGTCCTGGCTCTGGTTCTCCCAGGTGTTGGCCAGGTCAACCGGGGGCCCAAAGCCCCTCGGCCCCCGGCCGGGAAACCGGAGAAGCTGCCCTCGGTCCAGAGGGGCCCCTCCAAGGTGCGCCCCCGCTCCCCGCGCGTCCCCAGAAGCCCCAAGATGGACAGAGACTCCCAGACCCCCATCCCTCTGCCCGCGACGAGGTGGGAGGACGTGCCATCGCCCACCGTGCCATCGCCCATCTCCAAGATGGAGGCCAGGGTGTCCCAAAAGCTCCACAGAGGAGCTGCGGAGGCGGAAGGGGGGTCGTCCTTGGAGAGCCTGGTGCCCACGCTCCTGGATCTTGAGAAGAGGAGGAACACGGCCAGCGCGATGGAGCAGACAAAGACGAGACGGGCTGTCTTCACGCCGTGGCCCAGGTACGTGGGACGGGAAGGACCCGCGGGGCCCCCAGCAAGGTGACATGGTGGCGGTGGAGACCAGAGGGGCAGGTTTAGGGCCCCCGGAAAGCGGGGACTCACACTGCCACCCTTGCAAACAGGACCCCCAGCCCTAGCCGGCTTGGCTCCGTGGAGAGAGCGTCAGATTCCGGTCAAGGGTACATGCCCCGGTTGCGGGCTCCATCCCCAGTAGGGGCCGGGCAAAAGGCAGCCGATCCGTGATTCCCTCTCATCATGGATGCTTCTCTCGCTCCCTCCCTCTTCCTTCCTCTCTGAAATCAATAAAAATATATTTTAAAAAATAAGAAAATAAATAAATAGAAAGGAAGAAAACAGGACGGACGCCCAGTGAGTGGAGCCAGACACAAAGGCCAGCGCCTTGGTGTCTGATGCCACTTGCAGGACAGGCCAACCCGGAGACACAGACAGAAGTTTGGGGTTGCGGAAGGCCGGGAGGGGTGGGGGCTGGGGAGGGACTGCTGGTGGGTGTTTTCTCTGGGGGGCAATGAAAATGCTCTGGGCCTTGATAAAGGCTACGGTTGCAGGACATGGAGGATGTTATTTTTAAAAATATTTTTTATTGATTTCAGGAGGAAGGGAGAGGGAGAGAGAGAAACATCAATGATGAGAGAGAATCATGGATCGGCTGCCTCCTGCGCGCCCCCTACTGGGGATGGAGCCCGAAACCCTGGCGTGTGCCCTGACCAGGAATCCAACCGTGACCTCCTGGTTCATGGGTGGACGCTCAACCACTGAGCCACGCCTGTCGGGCCATTGAGAATGTTCTTAATGCCACTTTAAACGGGTTACCATGGTAAATGTTATGTAATATGTATTCCCCGACCAGGCGTAGACGCGTGGAGGGGACTCCCGGATCAGCTCTGTCCCAGGAGTTTGCTGAGAGGGTGGGGGAGTGAGGGGGGCTTGGAGAGGCCACTGGTGTACGGCGTGGGCGCAAGAGGGCCTCCTTAAGAGGAAAGAGATATTCGTGCACTTGGATGTGGGGGTGAAGGCTGCAGAGTCAGGCTTGACAACAGCGAGGCAGGAGGACGAGCGCCCTCGGAGGGGACAGGGGGAGGCGGTGGAAGCCCGATCCCAGCTCAGGCTTGCCTGTTCCTCCATTCACTGTGCTTACTGAGCGCGCACTGCCCTCTCCCCAGCAAGCACGGAGCTCAGCGCTTTCAGTAGCAGGATCCGGGATCGCACTCAGTCGCTACAAGCTCCGGAGGGATCCAACGTGGCCAGGTAGCCCCGGACACCCCCAGACCCGCCTTCCCCCTGGCGCGGAGTCCCG